AGCCTTCGGGTGCGCCCCCTGTGGGGCCACGAACCGTGTGAGGGGTGCGCCGAAAGGGTCCCGAAGCCTTCGGCTGCGCCCCGTGTGGGGCCACGAACCGTGTGAGGGGTGCGCCGAAATGGGCCCGAAACCTTCGGCTGCGCCCCCTGTGGGGCCACGAACCGTGTGAGGGGTGCGCCGAAATGGGCCCGAAGCCTTCGGGTGCGCCACATGTGGGGCCGCGAAAGCCTTCGGCTGCGCACCTTGTAGGGCCACGAACCGTGTGAGGGGTGCGCCGAAATGGTCCCGAAGCCTTCGGCTGCGCCCCCTGTAGGGCCACGAGCCGCGTGAGGGGTGCGCCGAAATAGTCCGATGGAACCCTGTAGGGGTTCTATGGGACTCCGATGGAACCCTGTGGGGGTCGAATGGGAGTCCGATGGAACTCTGTAGGGGTTTTATGGGCGTCCTATGGAACCCTGTAAGGGTCGTGTGGGAATCCTATGGAACCCTGTACGGATCCCACAGGATCCTCCTGTAGGGGTGCGTTGTGTTGTGTTGTGTTGTTCCCCCCCCCCCTCCCCCCCTCCCCCCCCCCGGGGGGGCTTGCCCCGCCTGTATCAACAACAACAACAACAACAACAACAACAACAACAAAGACAACAACAATAGCAACAACAATGACAACAACCACACAACACACAGAACTCACAACACACAAACACACCACGCACGCCACACACAACACACACAGCACACACGATACACACCACACAACACACACAGCACGCAACACACACACAACACACAACACACGCACCACACACAACACATACAACACACACAACACACACTATACACAACACACAACACACAACACACAACACACAACCACACACAGCACACAGCACATACAACACACAAAACACAACACACAACACACACACACAACGCGCACAACACAAGCAACACACAACACACAACGCACACACAGCACAACACACACAACACACAACACACAATTCCACGCACAAACCGCACAAACCACACAACAAACACAACACACAACACACACAACACACACCACACACACACACCACACACAACACACACAATACACACAACGCACACACAACACATACACACATCACACATAACACATCACACACCACACATACACAGCAAACACAACACACACACAATACACCCACAACACACAGCACACACGACACACAACACACACACACACCACACACAGCACGCAACACATACACCACACACACAACACATTCGACACACACACAACACGCACACCACACATCACACACAAAAACGAACAGCACACACAACACTCAACACACAACGCACACACACACACACCACACACACAACTCACACACAACACACAATACTCACACAACACGCACACGCACACGCACATGCACAAGAACACGCACACGCACACGCACACTGGCACGCGCACGTGCACACGCACACACGCACGCACGCACCCACGAATGCACGCACGCACGCATACACGTACACACACACACACGTACACACACTACACACAACACACACCGCCCTACACACACCACACACCACACACAACACACAACAAACACACCACACAATACACACCACACACAACACACAACACACACACACCACACAACACATACAACGCACACATCACACACAGCAAACACAACACACACCACACGCGCACAACCCACAACACACACCACACAACACAGACAGCACACACAACAAACCACACAACACTCAACACACAGCACACACAACACACAACACACAACACACACACAACACACAACACACAACACACAATACACACAAAGTTCACACAACACACAACACACAACACACACCACCGACAACAAACACCACAAACAGCATCACGCGCAGGCCACACACACAACACACACGACACACACAACACACAACACACACCTTCACCGCACACACAACACACACAACACACAACACACACCACACATCATACACACAACACGCACAGCACACAACACACGCAACACGAACACACCGCACAACACACAACACACAACACACACACAACACACGCACACAAATTGCACACCACACAACACAAACAACACACACCATACACACAAACGCACAACACACAACACACACCAGACATCATACACACAACACGCACAGCACACAACACACGCAACACGAACACACCGCACAACACACAACACACAACACACACACAACACACGCACACAAATTGCACACCACACAACACAAACAACACACACCATACACACAAACGCACAACACACAACACACACCAGACATCATACACACAACACGCACAGCACACAACACACGCAACACGAACACACCGCACAACACACAACACACAACACACACACAACACACGCACACAAATTGCACACCACACAACACAAACAACACACACCATACACACAAACGCACAACACACAACACACACAACACACACATCACACAGCACACACAACACACAACCATCACACAACACACACCACACAACATACAACACACACAACACGTAACACCCACAACACCCACAACACACAACACACAAAACACACATCACCCACAGCACACACAACACGCAACATACACAACAATCACACAACACACAACACACACAGTACACACAGCATACACAGAACACACACACACGACACACACATACATCGCACACTACACAACACACATAATGCACAACACACACAACACACACAACACACAAAACACACACAAATCACAACACACACAACACACAGCGAACACAACACACATCACACACAACACACAACCCACACACAACATACAACACGCAGCACACACACAACACACAAAACACACAACAGACACAACACACACAACACACAACACACACAACAAACTCACTCACAACACACACACACACACCACACATAACACACAACACACACACAACTCACACACAACACACACACACACAACACACACCAGCCCCAACGCACACACACAACACACAACACACAACACACACAACACACACACAGCATACACAACACCCAACACCCAACACACACAAACACACACAACACACAACACACGCACACACACACACACGTACGCACGCACACACACACACACACAAATACACACACATACAATTGCTTGTGAGGGAAGAAGTTGGCACACGCACATCGTGGTTTTGAATGATGCTATTCGGGCCATTCCTGAGGAGCAGTTGGTCCAGGTTTGCCCCATTGCGGCCCAAAACGATTTTAAAGTTCAGTAACGATGGCACAATCTGGCACAAGTTGGTCCATGATCACCGCCGGGAAGCCTCACAATGGACACAAGACGGCTCCACGGGGCCACGGAGCCTGCCAGCTCAAAACAGGTCCCCGACAGATTCGCATCCTTCCCTAACCAGCGGAGAGCACATGACTTGAGTGTTCTCGCCCGTTCGCTTCCACATGGCTTCTGAAACCTCAGGATGGCTCTAGAGAGTCCCAGGAGTCGGGGGTTGCAAGATCCCCCCAGCTTCTCGCAAAAGTTTGGCCCTCATGGGGCCCTCTGGGGCTCGTGAGGGACGCTCTGGAGTCAGTGGGGGGGCTCCCTGGAACTCCCAGGGGCACCTTGGGCCAGGGACACCTCCAGCAACACCCGACATAGGGGTGCAAGGGGGCTCCAAGAGGGCTCCAAGACGGCCCCAAGGCTGCGCAAGCGCACCCCAAGAGGCGCCTTCTCGGGCTCCAGGGAGGCGGGGCGAACTGAGGCTCGCCCTTCGCTCGTGGGTGGCCTCCAAGATGGTCTCAAGAGGGCCACCAGGGCGCCCACGAGGACCCAGAGAGGGCTCCAAACGGCGCCCCGACGGCATCAAACATTTGCTGCAAGAGAGTGCCCCCCCGATGGCCGAAGTGCGCTGCCAAGAGGCTCACACCTCGACAACCGAGCAGACAAGCACGGTTGAATCCCACAAGCCTCGTCAACAAAAAATCCAGAAATGGACGTTGAGATCCTGGAACACGATGCTGTCGGGCACTTGTCAGAAACCGCGATCTTCAATGCTGAGAGGGTGGGGCCGATTTTTTGACAACACCGCGTCCGAGACAACAGGCATCCGTCAGCCTTGGAGTAGCGCTGACCCCACAACAACCAAACTCAGAAAAGTCTTCTGCCGATGTTTGACGAGGCTTGCAGGTCTGCTCAAGCTTATCCCGAGCTCTGGCTCGACGTCGCTCCCCCTCTTGGCTCCACTGCACTGAAGCTACACTTCCCTAATCAATGCAACTCGCCTGGCCATAATTTCTCAATGGGCTGGTCGGGCGTCCGGACGCGAAGCGTCTAGAATTGATGCGCGCGGTGGATCCGTCTTGGCGGCGCACCTGGATTCCACAGGTATGCGGATACACTTGTGTATGAGTTCGCCTGTCGATGTCCGACGTGATACACACAACGATCGGTATCACACCTGGCTCGTTGCGAACGCCAGACTGGATCCTTGGGGAAGGCCTGACGTAGCTTGACCAGGTGGCGACATCCGAGCCCTGCCCCTTCCAACCATCGACTCCCCTGACTCGATGGGAAAGGGGGGGGTGGTAGGGTTCGGACTTCGCCGTGTTCGACGAAGTCCGAACCTCACGCTCGCCGCCCACCGAGGTGCCCATATCGTTGATCGGCGAGGGTGGGGTTCCGATCTCGCCGCCTAGGGATGCCACCTACTCACACGCGAGCCCGTTCGCGCAATGCAGTGGGAGATGTTTGCGAGCGAGTGGCCGGCAGCATGCGAGTTGCCTCTCGGAAGCGGCGGCCGAACCGCTGGCGCAGCTATTGGGTGGGGCCCGCCTGGGACGGCACGCTGGAGGATCGTCGATGCGGAAGAGGGAAACGCCGAGCTCCCCATGGGCCGAGCTGGAACAAGAGCAGCAAAGCACACCCAGTGTCCTCTTGGCCTGCGCAAGCTCCAGCAATGTGGAAGAGATGACATTTGGCTCCACCTTCGCATCCTGCATCTCGGAGAACAGCGACAACGCTGGCTGCCATTGTCCGCCCTTCCCACACGCGCTGATCCCAGCGCTGTAGATGACTATGGTGAACCCTTGAATCAACATACTCACGCGCGTGGCATGTGATCCTAGAGCAGGCGACTCTGGCATGCATCAGCTGTTCAACGGATTAGTGCAACCGACGGACTCGATGCGCTGTTGCGGCCGAGAGTAACGCAGCAGTCTGATGCTATGCAAGATCGAGATCGCATTACTCCTAAGTCGGGCCTGTCCCCCTACAGGGGGATTTTCGACCACAAATGAATAATACACCAAAAATAATCAAAAAATGATTTTAAAAAATAGCCCGGGGGGCTATTTTTGGAGTATTGTTTGACCTCTTTGGGGTATTTGTGGTTTGAAAAAAAAAAAACGTCTAACATCCCCCTGTAGGGGGACGCGCCCGACATAACAGCAGTCTTATGCTATGCAAGATCGAGATCGCATTACTCTTCGCGCCAAATCTTGCCCCAGCCGCCTCAAAAATCCCAACGTTCCTGTTCGGGATGCCCGGGGCTCGCCTGCGGCAGGCCCGCCCTGCAGGACCAACCAGCTCCCAAAGAAGTGCTCGTGGGGGGAGGAGGAGGAGGAGAGGAGGAGGAGGAGGAGGAGGAGGAGGAGGAGGAGGAGGAGGAGGAGGAGGAGGAGGAGGAGGAGGAGGAGGAGGGGAGGGGAGAAATCCGAAAGTGTGGTAGAAGTCTGGGGAGTTCGTTCGGCAGAAGTCCGGGAGTCGGTTCGGGAGAAATTCGAGTGTGCTCTGGAGTTCGTGGACTTGCTGTACTCTCCGCAGGGAAGTCGTAAAGGGGGCCCTGGGCCTGATCAGCAGGGGCTAGACAGACGGCAGCTGAAGCAAGAGATCGGCCTGGCAGCAGCTGCCCCGCGGAACTTTCTCAGCACCCGATGGCCTTGGGGACCCACGTCAGCACTGTGGCACCGCAAGGCCCTCCCCAGCTCGACGGCCACCGTGCCCCGCGATCTCTCCTCGTGGCACGACGTCGTGGCCTGTGCGCATGCCCCTGGGAGACTCGCCAAGCCTGGTGAGACCTGTGGGAACATCTGCAGGGGCCCACGGCTCACATGACGCCGTCTCCGACACTGCTGAGGGATACAAACACGCCCCCACCCTGGGCTACAAGTGCGTGGTCCGCAAACCTCCCGGGAGCTCCCACAGGCGAAAGAGCTGCCGGGACGCCGCGCGACGCGCGCGATGTGCAGGGATTTCCCTGTCAGCCCACTGGAGGTTCAGCGCACAGCGCCTCGTAAACCAGGGCAGGGGCGTTAACGCCCGTGACGATACCCTCTCCAGGCCCCCCCCCTCTCCCATGTGGCTGAAACCTCCTCCGCCGCCACGCGGTCCGGGGTCGAGGAGCCCGCCGGGGCGACCCCGAGGCACGGCACACTGCGGGCGACTGGCAGCCTCACGCGGCCGCCTTCGACAGCCCTGGGCCCAAAAATGTATGAACGCCCCGCTTCTGCTTCCGCCGCCTTCTGCGGACCTTCCGCTGGCGAGCTCGGCGCCCTTGTGCCTCCGCCGCACATCGTCGCCACCCCCTCCTCCTGCTGCTCCCCCGCCTCATGCTTTATCTTCACCTCCTCCACCTCCTCGGCGTCGTCTTCCGCCTCCTGCGTCTCCTCCTCCTCGTTCCTCTAACTCGTCTGTCTTCCCAGCTCTCTGAGCCGCGGCGCTTTGAGCTTCTTAGCTCAGGGACGCGTCGGCCACCGCCGCCCTCCCCCTTGTCGGTGGCCCTGACGAAGATGGGGGAGAGGATGCCGAAACGCGCCCAGCGTCCAGCAAGGCATGAGGGTGCAAACCCGACTTGTCTGGCTGATGCTCTGGGGGGGCCTGTGCTCAGGGGAGGCTGCAGCACTACTCAACGATGTGCTGTTTAACCGAACCTGCAGGGTGGGCCCTTTCCCAAATCCGTGCTTCGGTGCGGATCGTCTGCGCGCCTCGTCGCCGTCGTCGTCGTCGTCGTTGCCGTCGGCGTCGTCGTGGTCGTGGTTCGTGTTGCTCTGCTCGGGACCTGCTTCCCTCCTGCAGTGACCACCACCACCCACCCTCTACTTGGAGGAGCGCACAAGGGGGTGGGGGGAGGGGGGGAGGGCTTCTTAGAAAGAGGCTGCTTCTTAGAAGGCGCCGGCCTTACATCCATACAGAAGGCCTTCATAAGGCCCGCGCCTTCTAAGAAGCAGGGGTGCTTCTAAGAAGCTTCCCCCCCTCCCCCTACCCCCTTCTGCGCGTGGCAACCCTCTACCTCGTCGTGGTCAGGGTCGTCTTCTTCAGGGCCAGCGGCGCCGGCCGCAGGGCCTTCGCCATGTGAACGTCCCGCTTCTAGTTTTATTTCGGGCCTGTCCCCCTACAGGGGAATTTTCGACGATTATTTTTTTAAAAACAAAAAAAAAGAAGAAAACCTACAAATGCACCAAAAAGGTCAAAACATAGTCCAAAAATAATCCCCAGGCTATTTTTGTATTATGGTTTGACTATGTTTGGGGGTATTTTCTTTATTTTTCGTCGAAAATCCCCCTGTAGGGGGACAGGCCCGACTTGATTCTGCTTCCGCCGTCTTCTGCGGACCTTCCGCTGGCGAGCCCGGCGCCGTGCCGCTTCCCGCCCCGCCCTCCGCGGGCATTCCGCGGGAGGCGATTGGTGCGCCGAGGGCGAGGCCCTGTCTAGAGTTAGGTCGGGCCTGTCCCCCTACAGGGGGATTTTCGACGGAAAAAAAAACACATACCCCAAAAACGTCAAGAATTTTCAAAAAAAAGAATCCCCAGACTATTGTTGGACTATTTCTTTGCTATTGTTGGGGCATCTTTTTATTTTTCATCGAAGATCCCCCTGTATGGGGGACAGGCCCGACTTAAGTCTAGAGTTATGTTGTCCCCATCGTACTTAAGGACCAAATCACAGAAACAATTCCGAGCACCCTGGAGAGTGTCGAAGCAATGTCGAAAGAGCATCGCCTCCCAGGGCCCGGCACGTGAAAACTGCCCAGTTTCGGCACCAACTTGGTGCACGATATTATTTGGGGGGCGATCGAGGCTACAGTAGGTTGGAACATCATAATAGGGAAGCGGACTCTATACACCAACGCTTTCCCCGACCCTGCGCTGAAATTCGCACAGGAACGCGGATTCTGGTGTATACGGGATCCTGGTGTGTACATGTTTCGTTGTTTCCCTTGGAAAACGGGGGAAAGGCATACAGCACACCACCCCGACGGCGCCCCCGACCCTCAAGAAGTCGTGGGATTGAAGAACAACCCGCCACTGGTAATGTATAGGTTCCAGTTTGCGACATAAGATCGGGCGTTGGCAGAACTGGGTTTAGTGGAACCTGGTTTAGTGATTTGTACCGGGGGCGCCCCCCCGCCCCATTTCCACTCACCAGAACTGCCGCCACCCGACAAACACCAGTTACGGCAAACCTGGTTTGGTGAACCTGGCCAATTGAGGGGCCCCATGGTCCTACGGTAGAGGGAAACAATTAGTGAACACCCCCCCTGCCCCCAAACTCAAGGTTGGCACGCGCGACGGAGACTGCGGTCGAGGTGCAACTCATCAGACCCACCGCCAACTTTGAACATTGGGGGGAGGGGGAGGCGTTCACAGATGAATGTGGCATGAGCGTTCGCTTTTTTTCCGAGGCCTGTACCACTAACCGGGTCCCCTTACCCGGGGTCCTGGCCATACCCGATACAAAAACCTATGGTCTCGACGCCCGAAATGGGTACGGAAAGAATGGGTACGATGCCCAACAGCAGTTCCTGTTCATTTTGAACAGGACTCGCTGTCCGCGCCGCCGCGGCCTGTGTCCATTTGAGACAGAAGGCCGCCCGCCCAACAGCGGCCGCTGTTGGTTTGGGACAACATTTGTTGTTGGGCACTGTACCCATTCTTTCCGCACCCATTTCGGGCGTCCAAATATGGAGTGCACCCGCGCGGAGCCGGCCGACGGCGGAGCTCGCCCGGAGCCGGCCGGTGGGCTCCGGCAACCCACACGCGGGCTTCGCCCGCGCCGGGCGGCCTCGGCGCCCAGGGCCCCGGGCGGAGCCCCGGGCGCGGCGGCCCGAGCAGCACGGTGCCGCCCGGAGTGGCGAGGCGCCAGCCTTCCGGTAGCCTCGGCCGCCAGCAAGAAGATGTCGTGCACCAAGGAAGTGCCGAGGCTGGGCAATTTTTTCACGCGTCGGGCCCTGGGAGGCGGTGCTCGTTCGACACCGTTTCGACACTCTCCTGGGTGCTCGAGGCTACTTCCGTGACGTGGTCCCGAAGCGCGATGGGAGCAGCATAAAGCGAGACGACAGGGCGCATCTCTGGTGCACACAGAATCCGCAACAGCAGTGGACAGACAAGCGCGTTCCACGACTTACAAAGCAACTGCTCGCAAATGGCCCGGATCCGCCGCGGGGGACCTACGATACTTTACATCGCGGCAAACACATGTTTTTCGGACGCTTGCGAGTAGGCACTTTGCAAGCAGTGGAACGCGCCCGGCGAGGGGAGGTCACGTTCGGCTCCAACTTCGCATCCCGCAGCTCGACCAAAAGCGACAGCGCCTGAAGCCAACGACCGCCCTTCGCGCACGAGCTGACTCCAGCACCGTAGCTGGCGATGTTCTGCTCCAACTTCGAATTCGCCAACGACGCCAACAAAGAGAGCGCGCACTGCCACCGACCGCCCTTCTCACACGCGCTGATGCCAGCGCAGTGGCTGACCAGAGCGACGAAGTTCTGTTCGTACACATCTGCAGAATCGGGCACCACGAAAACGCAGAGCATCACAGATCGGCCCGAGAGAGGCCAACTCTTTGCAATTTGCTGAGGAACCAAGGTTGCAGAACAGGCTCGCTGGGGTCATCGCAATTTTGAAATCGATGGCAATGTTGGAATCGGATGGGACCTCTACGCACGCAGTCGAAGGAGGAGGAGGAGGAGGCTAAGGAGGAGGAGGAGGAGGAGGAGGAGGAGGAGGAGGAGGAGAAGGAGGAAGAGGCCCAGC